CAGCTTGTGGCCTTTATAATTTTTGGGTCATACAAATCCAAACCAGACATTTTTGCTTTCTTGTTTTGGCATATATATGGTTCTTCAACTATGTTGTAATTAAAACATTATTTTTTATAATAAGATGAATATTTAGAAGATCAATTGGAATATGTGTGGTCTCTCCTCTACAAAAGTTTTTGATTTTAAACAACCTATTTCATCGTAGAATTTCGATTTATGTTTACATTTGCGTATGTATTTATTTTCACCTTTTGTTGTTGATAAGCCCGCTTTTTCGTTAACTGATCTGATGGGTCCAACAAACAATTAGTGAACCTTAGAGATAAAGAGATATTTCTATAATTAGTTCGTTTCTCTTCTATTTTTCTATCTCCTATCTATCTATTTACTTAAGTTATTTACTAAAGCAATTATGACAGTGTATTATATTTTATATATAATTATTAAAAGATATATGATAAATAGCTCCTATTTTTTCAAAGACATTAAATAATAGCCTCTGACAGAGAGAAACAACACATTCATCTTGTAACATACGCATTCATGAGACATGTGGTCTAGTATTTTTTTTTATTTTTCAGATTAGAGAGTAGGAATATTAAATGTGTCAAAGCTGGTAGAGTGTGTATTGGTCAAAAAGGTTTTCTACTACTGCAAGCTAAGGAATATAATTATATGTTAATATGTTGTGAATTTCAAACCTAATAATTTTAGGTTATAAAACTTTGTTTACGTAATAATATTTGAATCTAAATACAGATTTCAGGATTTGAATTGATCCAATCCTATTTCCCTTGACAAATTTAAATTAAGTTTTGTTCACCTAATTTATTTTAAATTCATATTTAACTTAATTTATGTGTCCCGTAAAGAAGGAAATAATCTAATATCACCATTTACAAATTCAATAGAAAAAAATGACGTTTTCAGATAAGAATGAAGAATATCTCTTATGTATACTCTTCTTTTTCACTTCTATATTTGCTTTGTCTTTTATTGTGTCATTTTATATAAAGATTTTCATCGTCCATAATTTTTTATTGGACATCATGTTTTTGTTTATTGTGTCTTCTAAATAACAACAAACGGCAACCAGTGTGTGACTAATTAACTTTTTGCTAGTGGTAATATTAGGATAATTACAATCAGTAAATTAAACTTAGATGTTTTGCTTTGTGGCCCTTGGAGATTTGGTTGCTATCATTTTCAGCACAGAGATGCGTGCAAAAATATCATTAAAAGACCTTCTTGAAAGTGACATAAAGTTTGCTAATCAATTAGCACACACATACTTATGAAACTAAAATTAAAAAAAAAAAAGCACCAAAGTAAAGTATTGATTCGTTGGTGTCACTGTTCAACTAATTTTACATACACTACTTGTTTGATATAAATTCTTGGAAATTTCACATCATTAATTGGCATGCACAAATATTCAAACTACATTGATATAGATGATGGAACTGATTATAGAATTTCAATTGATATTCAAAAGTCAAAATATTTCTAAATTTTATTTAAAACACTATATATACATTTATTATACACTTTGTTATACTCCCTCTGTCCTTAATTACTTGTCCACTTTTGTATTGACACACCTATTAAGAAACAATTATTGACATAGTGACTTTACCATTTTACCCCTATTAATTATGAAGTGGATGAATTAAAATTTTAATAATTTCAAAAAGCTCTACCTTTTTCAAAGTAATTAATTGAGGGTATAATGAGATTTTTTTTTTGTCCTTTCTTGATTTGTCAAAATGGACAAGTAATTAGGGACAACTATAAAAGGAAAAGTTGACAAGTAAATAGGGATAGAGGGAGTATATATATTTACTTCATTATTTACCTTTCATACAATATAGGGATAAGGGACTGAAAAATACCCTACTTTGGTCAGATTTGCTGTTGTGATACTAAATTTTCATGAGCACCTATTACCTCCCTAGACTATTTAATACCGTATTTTTTACCCCCTGAACTATTTAATAGTGTATTTTAAAGGTATATATGTGCCCACGTGGACACATTACTATTTATAATTTTGCATTATTTTTTATGTCCACGTGGGCAAATATATATGTTTAAAATACGTTATTAAATAGTCTAGGGAGGTAATAGGTTCTCATGAAAGTTTAGTATCGCAACAGCAAATTCGACCAAAGTTATGATATTTTTCAGACCCTTATCCCTACAATATATATACATGTTATATATATTTTTATCAGTACACTTTTTAATTTTACCCCAAATACCGAGTACACTTTTTTGTAAGTAATGTGAATATTTATTTTTGTCAAAAAGACAAATCTAGTTTTAGGATTGGTAAGATTAAGTTTGAGTTTAAGCATATATAGTCCAAAGTTGGGCCATTTTTTGCAATCACAACGTGTCATTCCCCTTCTATATTCTAGAAAAATTACGGGGATGAGTACTTTTTTAATTAATAATTACTGATTTTAGTGATATTTTTTATTTATCATCATTTATAATAATATATATCAATACTACGATAAATCTTTATTGTGTATTAAAAGTGAATCATACATGCAATATAGATGTATTATAAGTGTTTTAAAATATATTATGTTTGTTTGATAAGAAATTGACACAATGTATTAGAAATGTTTTAAGTGTGTGATAAATGTGTTGTCACTCAATAAAATTTGTATTATATGAGATTTATAAATTGTTTTCTGTAATATACATTAAAATTATATTACAAATGTGTTTTTAAGTGTTCAGTGAAAAAAATAAATTATTGTCATCGATTGTAAATATTTTCTTAATATAGTTTCCTATATTTTTGTACTTGTGATTACAATATTGGGCTTCTCGCAGATCTTTAAGAGTTTGACAGAAGTTCTTCTTGGGCCTAAGATATTGGTCTTAAATTTGTGTATCCCACATTACAAAACCCCTGTAAATGGGGGTACAATTAGCGACTTCTTTTAGCCCAGCTCAAAAAGGGATAATTGTACATAATGACAAACTTATAATCTAAAATAAATGGAGTAGCTACTGTTTGATTTAATTATGCCCCGTAGCAAACGTTTGCCAGTCACCTCTCTCCCTCTAAATTCTCGCTCGCCACTCTCCCTTTCTCGTTCGCTCTCTTTGTGCTCGCCTCTCTCGCTTTATACAACAGAATTGTATAAATTGCGTTTCTGTTTGTATAAAGCGAGAGAAAATTGTATATACACATGCAAATACATATATATTCGTCCTATACACTTATAATTATACAATAAAAATATTCCCCTGCCCAGTTCTCTTTTGTCTTTCTCTCTTTCTCGTTTTATACAAACACAGATTATACAATATAATGTAAAATTTATGTTTGTATAATGTATAATTTATGTTTGTATAAAGCGAAAGAAAATTGTATATACACATGCAAATACATATATATTCGTCTTATACACTTATAATTATACAATACAAATATTCCCCTGTCCAGTTCTCTTTTGTCTTTCTCTCTTTCTCGTTTTATACAAACACAGATTATACAAATATAATGTATAATTTATGTTTGTATAATGTATAATTCATGTTTGTATAAAGCGAAAGAGAGAGCGATTTTTGATATACAAATATTTTAATCAACAATTTATACAAACGAGAGGCTAACAATAATTTATACAAATGGCTTGCCAGAGAAATTATACAAATCTGAAGAGGAGTCAACGAATTATACAATTGCTTCTTTTTGTATATATGTATAGCGAAATAGACATAGCTTTCAATTGTATATGTATAGTGAATTATACATATATATGTTTGCTATGGAGCGCAATTATGCAAACTTTGCTATAACATACAAATATGATTTTTTTGTTTGCTATATGTGAAAGTTGCTCATTGAAAAATAGCCACTATGATGGAGTTTCAAATAGGAGAATTTTCACAAATAGCTATTATAATAAACTTAATTATGCTCCATAGTTATAGTTTGCATATTTACAGGTTGTAGCTACAGTTTAAACTATCTCGTTTGTATAAATCGTTGGTTTATATAATTCGCGGGCGAATTTGTATAATTCACAGGTATGTTTGGATTATTGAGCTATTTTTGTATAAACTCGAAAATAACAAATTTATACAAACTCAAACATCTGAACTTTAAACAGTAACACAAATTATATTATACAAAAGTTATACAAATTCCGAATTATACAAAACTCGAAACCCCAGCCCACGTAATTATCACTAAATGTTGGTCACGAGTGATAATGAATTAAAACTATAGCTATGATGACTAATTAACTAGTATATGTTTGCTTAATCATGTAATTTTCCCTTCCAAAATATCACTTGTGAAATTTCAGAACATTATCACAAAATTTCACCAGTAAAAGCTTTACTCCCACAATGCCTATTTTTTAAAAGACAGTATCAAAAGTGACCAGTGTGCACATTTCTGCTCTAATAAAATGAAGCATTGTCCAGTCAAAAATACAAAAGAATCATTGATTCCCACACTAGATAACGGGTCCTAAGATAGCGAGATTCCTTGTGAAATAAGTTTTGCGAAAGGGGTCTCCCCTTCTCTTTAGTTATTAATGTTACTATCTATTGAAATGAAAAAAAAAAAGAAAAAAAACTTTTTTTTATGCTCCTCTCCCTAATATATGTCCTTTCCAAAAACAAGAAAACAGGAAAAAGAAGAAATCTAAATGAAAAGGTGCATAACAGAAAGTTAACTTCTTTCAAGTTTTATATGCTACTCGAAGGTAGCAATACCAATGGAATAGTCTAAGTGCGCACAAGTTGGCTCAGAAAACACCGATATTTAAAGAAGAAATAAACACTTTGAACCATTTAACTTACAAGTATAGTTTCCATATGTCTAATATATACATGCATTACCTAATGAGAGTTTACTCACTTCACTATGTTTCCCATGGCATTTGAAAGAGTGAAGCCCTTTCTACCTATTTCCTCAAAATTCCATACAAAACAGAGATGATTATTTGAAAGTACACACACATATATATATGAGGGTTAATAAACACCCCAAAAAATATAATTTTTCTCTAAGCTGTAACTAAATTACCAATTCTAGCTAAGCTGCTGAGGTCTTCATGTTGTTTTCAGAAACTGAACTTCTTAGATTAAGCTGTTTAAATTCATTCAGGCATTTCGTCGAGTTGTACTCTGCTGCATCCAAGAGTTCTTCTGAATATGTCCTCTTTCGCAGGAAATTCTGCTTGTAGCAGTCGTCTTCAGTCTTCATTAGGACGATAGCCTGTGATAAGAAAAAGGATCATTTTTTCAATCTTCATATAGAACCAGAAGAACATGCACTCTATGATACAAAAATGAGTTGAATTTCCAAACTACAGGAAATCAAGGGTGACAGAAAATAACAACTTGCCTGATTCATTCGAGGTCGCATAAGTGGATTTTGTTCTACACATAAGCCAGCAGTTATAATAACGCGGTTCATCTCTTTTGGATTGTAGTTATCACCAAGAACAGGATCAATTAGTTCTTTGACGTTGTGCTTATGGAGCAAAGGCTTTGCCTACATTTGAATACGTGTATGCTCGTATAGTAAGGATGTATACGTGAATTAGATAATAAGGAATATATGATGGAAGACGTGACACGAAGAATGTACCCAAATCACAAGGCTCTGCTGTGAATCATCTAGTGCTTGCCTTCCAGTTATTATCTCCAATAGCAGCACACCAAATGAAAATACATCAGTTTTCTCATCGACAGTGCCATGCATAAAATACTCCGGAGCGAAATAACTGAACAATATCAAGAAAAATGTATTAGATCTTCTTGCAAGGTAGATGAAAATATCAGAGAAGTTTTCTATGCTTTTAATGAAAGATTTCAGGACTACAGACCCAAATGTGCCTTCAAACTTGCCCACATTATGATGTGTCCACTCTTTAGGAAGCCACTTTGCAAGGCCAAAGTCACAAATCTGCATCCACAATACACATACTCAGAATACACCATAATCAAGATTTGCAGCAAACACACGAATCATCGTGTCTACTAAGTACTAAATTACATGGATGATGGAACTCAAAGAATACTTCAACTGACTAAAAAGAGAAGTAGAACCACTTTGCCTGTAATTTTTCTCTGTCATGATTCTTGGACCATTCAAACTTAATCCACGAGTAATACAACTATGATCAGATAGCTCGGAATACCAAATGATGTCATACAACTATGAATATTATTTCCTAACAATAATGAAGATGCAATTTTCTTAGAGAAGTGGACAAACACTAGATTACACAAAGGATGTCACATCTTGTAGGCCACCAGTCTACCGATAGCAATTAGAAAAACAAGTGTCAAGGACTTCCACAGACCACAAGTGTGATACTGAATTCAGAGAATGATAACCAAATTTTTCACAAAAACTCCATGTCATCATAACAGCTTATGCCCTGAAATTAAGTGCAGAGGAATAGACATTTCACATCCCTTAAAAAGCACTTTGGGGCAAGCACCCAGGTCCTTAGGCATGCACTTGAACACCCGTAAGTTCGTTCTATATTGGTAAGTTCAGCACTAAACAAAATCTAGCCGGCAAACCCTAGTTGTTAAAACAACATTATGAACTATATCGTGGCGATAAAAAAGAGAAAATTTGAAACTTAGTATATTTTAACTAACAACCAACTTAGTAAGCTACAGTTTCACAGCTATGTTCTAAAACCTTGCCAGATCAGTCATCTACTTTAAGCTTTAATTACTAAAGGGAACTCTTTTATTAAGCATGTATTTCATTCAAAAGGATGTTTTGAAACATGTATCTTGAATGTTATACATGATGTATCTCACATGAATGTGTACCCATCCATCTCCAGAAACTCTTGCTATCGGTTGAGTCCCACATAAGCGGGCTTAGGGAAATTTGGTCTCCTAATATGGTCCTGGACAATCGTCCTCTCATGAGTTAACTTTTGAGGTTTAGTTATTTTTAAGATCCATTTCTTTATCATGATATCAGGTCCAACCCAATTCATTATTTCATCTGATGATGGACCTCCCATCTTATATTATTCACTCTTCATATGCTCAATCCTGGGCGTGTGGGGGTGTTGAGTCCATATCGGTGGGCTTAAGGAATTTTTGTCACCTTATATGGTCTTGGACAATCCTCTCCTTGTAAAATAAGTTTGGTCACCTTATATGGTCTTGGACAATCCTCCCCTAGTAAAATAAGTGTTTTAAATCTTAATGTAAACGAGTGCAGTTAATGGTTTAAGGTCTCAACTCTGAACCATTCACATTCAGACATCCATTAACTACAAACAAACTAATCTTCAATAAAAGAACTACGCTCTTGAAATGTGTGTTGCAAACGTTATACATGTGAGATATCACATGAATTTGCCTTTTTCTTAAAGGGTAATAATATTTTCCATAAACGACACAATAGTAGTCCTGTAATTTCTGTACAAGTAAGCGAAACAACGCGTTTTGACCATTATACATGTGAAATATCACATGTATTTGATTTTTTCTTGACCGGTAATGTCATTATATTCGTAAACGACAAAAACATAGGTGTGGAATTTTATGTGATATAATATGAATTTGCCTTTTTCTTAAATGGTAATAATATTTTCCATAAACGACATAATAGCAGTCCTGGATTTTTCTGTACAAGTCAGCAAAATAATGTGTTTTGACCATTGTAATTGATTTTTTCTTGACCGGTTATATGACTATATTCGTAAACGGCAAAAGTGAAGTCTTCTTCTCATCTTAGAGAAACTCTATAAATTGTAATGAGTTTCTCACTTATTTGCATATTCCTTCTTACACAAAAAAAGTGAAATACAGTCTTAATCCTCTTGACTGAATTTTGCTTGTCTTCAAAATATCTCGAGTTCTTTTCTCTTCAGGTCACCCGTTCCAACTCTTGCCTACACCAACAACTCCCAAAATCCTATTTATTCCCACACATGAAGCCTTTGATTCCGGCAAAGTTGAGAAATAACTGACATAGGTGGTCAGTAAAAGGTCAGTGCAAAACAAAGGGTGTTTAATGGTTTCCGTTTGAAAACCATATAAATCGCATCTGTGATGTATACACGATGTATCTCACCTGATGCGTACCCATCCATTTCTAACTCTTTCTATCTTTTTCTTTTTAATTTCCCTTTTCCTATATCTATTTTTGTTGCCTCTCAGGCTAGTCTCCATCAAAAAACATGTTTCAAGTAGTAAATAGATCACACTAAACTATCCAATTTGTGTCCATCCATGTATTCACTATTGCTATGCTTGTTCTTCTCTATTCTCTTTTCCCACTATCACTACCACAACCTCTCTCTGTTGCATCTCTTGTTGGTCTGCATTGAAGGAATCTCTTTTATGAAAGGTTGTCTTTTTCAAAAGGATGTTGAAACATGTGACTGAATGTTATACATGATGTATCTCAATTCTAACATGATATACACACATCTAGTGTTAACTATTGTTATCTTTGTTTTTCTCTATTTTGCTTTTACCAAGGATACACTACCTCTATCTCCGGCATCTCCTGCTAGTTTCCTTTAAAAAGCATGTTTTCCGCTGTACATAGGATGTATCACACATAAGTATGTACTCATCCATTTTCTACCTCAATTTCTATTTGCTCCTCTTTATATTTGGTTGCACACTTAATTGTCAATCTTAAATATAGGTGCTTTGTCCAGATACAAGCAGATAATATATTCTCCCAAGAGGTGTTATTGAAGTGTGCATAAGAAGCTGGGTAATGACTCTAATCCTCCTAAACACGAATCCTCGGATTCTCAAATCTGCTTGTCGAATTCTCAGATTCCCTCACTAGGCGTAAGTTCTTCAAAATGTTGGAAGGAGTTCCATCAGGAGACTGCCTTCCTTTGAATCTTTAGCTGTTCTAGGATATCAAGAAGGAAAAGCAGAAGCGTGGGGGAAATGTAGCAACTGGTTTCTATCCCTTCAGATCATCCTAGAAGGACGTCACCCTATTTGGCCTGATTAATGGTGCCAGCAATTTTAGCAAAAGGTACGTGATCTGTTTTAACGTCTCTATTCACAGCATTCAGGCTTCTGTGGTAAAATATATATATGCATAACAACTAAGGCAATTATGTAATACACCTAATCTCAGCGTATATGTTAGATATAATCTTTTCTTCCCTTAATATTCAATCTTAAATGCAAGTGCATTTAACCATGTTAAGAGAGACGTTTATGTAGACATGACCCTTACAAATTTGTATTCATTTGAGTAAGGAACAGAGATTAGACAACTATAGATACTGTTCTAGCGCCTATCCGACTGAAGCAAGGTATATTGACATAAAAATACACTCAGAGAAGACCAGATTATTTTACCAAAATTGTGTAGATAATGGAAGATTTAAAATGCCAGATAGTATAGTACCTGAGGCACAAAATCCTCCGTAAGTAGAATATTATCAGCTTTAATATCTCTGTGTATAATCCGCCTTTGGCAATTCTCGTGAAGGTACATTAGGCCATTTGCTATTCCAAATATTATTTTGTACCTGGCAGCCCAATCTAGTTTTTCCCTTGAGCCTGAGAAAATAGAAAACAACAAAGCACCTCGTGTTATAGAAGAAAAGGGTGGTTCATCAATTATGGACAGAAATTGTCTTGTAACTAGAAATTTTGAGACAAACCACGAAGAAATGATCCTAAGCTCCCTTGAGAAGATAGTTGAAGAACTAGGTATGTCCCTCCTTCCACTCCATAACCAACCATCCTTGCAGTATTAGGATGGTCTACGTGTGCTATAGTACCTATTTCACATAGGAAACTTTGTTCCTGCTGCGCTTCTGTACCCTTATTGAGGCGCTTAACCGCGATAAGCTGACCATCAGGTAAACAACCCTTGTAAACTTCAGCGTACCCTCCTTTGCCAATCAAGTTTTCTGTCAAAGAAGGAGATCAACTCTATAATACACATTTATGTTTTAAAAATTTTCAAAAGTTAAAATAGATCAAAGAGTAGTAAATAAGCCTGAATGCAAGAAAGAGAGACGTCAAACACGATTACATACCTTTGCTAAAATTGTTGGTAGCGTTTTTCAGTTCAGATAGGCTGAAGTTCTTCCAGGAAGATGTGAAGTGGTAGATTCCCGCTGCCACATTCTCCCTCGCACTTCTGCTTTTCCTTGTCGACATCATTGGCACAGCTAACGGTGGAAAAGAAGGTAATCTCTTGACGGAACTTCTTTTCCATATCTTGAAGAACTTATGCCAGCGAGAGGACGTTCGTGGATTAGACAACCTGGTTTGAGAACCTGAGGGTTTGTCTTTAGGAGAAATGGAGCCATTCTCTGGATTTCTGATGCCCACTTCCATAACTCCTCTTGGAGAAGAATCATCATGTTTCTCCCTTTCCATCTCAAACATTCTGAGGTCTACAACAAGAACATCATCCATCCATCAGAGGCAAAACATAAAAAAAAAAACAAGCCATAGTACACAATCCCACCTTGAGCAGAAGCCGACGCAGACAGATTTCCTGAGGTATGTTCTGCATCCATACTGATTCCCTTAGCAGATTTCCTATAACATATCAGCCAATTGTTAGTTCTAAATTATTCAAATCATATTAAATCACACTTTTCTCTTATACATTCCTTGGTCTTGCATCAAGGAAAGTATTAACTAATCCCAAAACCAAGAATTCAATGCTTGACACAGGACCCGGAAAATACAGATTCAAAGCAAATATTCAACGAAGGCAATTACAAAGTAGCGGATTACTAGCAAAGCATGGAAGTAACTTGGAATTTTTTTGAAAGCTTAATGTTCTATGATATTGTACCCCTGTTTTTTGTTCTATCATATAATAAAAATGATCAGCTAGATAGATACTTGTATCCCATACAAATCAAGCTATGCAATATACTTTTTTAGCAATAATAATATTTAGTTTCTTTTTGAAAAAACAGTAACTTTTGTATAAGCAATGCAAACTTACATATTACAAGCACCACAAAAGATGTTTCTAACAACCATCCCCTATGAAACGTCCATAATTTATCCCTTCCTGTTTTGGTGTGACGTAGCAGGTACCCGATAGAATAGTCAGGTCGCACGCAATTTGGTCTAGCTACCACCTTTATCAGAAAAAAATCCCTTTACAACACAAATGCAAAGCCAATTTCTCTACACAAGAACAATTTTCTTATCATTCATGAAACTTTTTTTCTTCTTTCACAACAGCATTACCCATCCACCCTAGCGGCACGAGAGGGGTCGGTGTTTTCTTTAAATTTTGACAAGTGGAGGGAATTTGAGGAAGAAATGAGATTGCTAATCTTAAGGTCCTAGGAATAATCGTAGCCTTAATTTTAGACAGTCACCGTAGAAAAAACAGTGAATTTTCTTTTCCCTTTTGCCTGTAATTGAAAAAAACAAGACAGAGTGGGAAGAGTTAGTTTGGATTTTGATTTTTGGGAATTCAAATGCCAGCTTTGCCGTATGGTAATAACCAAGATTTTTTTTTTTTCATTCTAAAACTTTTTTATGATAAAAAACTTGTTTACATGAATGTAATATATATAATTTTCATACGTAACTTATAATTATGATCAAGTTGTATATACTTTCTTTTTAATTTTTTTTTTTATTATTGAAATGACGTTATTTAATTTGATGTAAACAGTTCATACATGCCAGTAGGTATTTACCAAACTTTTTTTTTTACTCATAATACAAAGCTATCACAAATTTGTAGAAGGAAAAAAATAGTATTAAAATCATCTTCAGTCAACAGTCAAGTTCTATATATAAAAAATAATCTGAAAAACTCTAAAACTATTCCAAATATTGTCCTATTTTTTTATTTTATTAAAGGTGTAGTTGGAATAGAGAAAATATCTTTCAAATTTAGTTGATGTGAGTAGACTTGTAATAATGTCTTCAATGCAGAATTTCTCATTCAGAAACTTTAATTCAAGAGGATTTTCCTTTTTAATGGAAAGCAAAGAAAATATCAACCTAGAGTTTGTGTACAAAATCCATAAAGGTGTAGCACTTTAAAAGATTAAGAGGTCATTTTTAGTATATTTGATATAATTTTAATTTAAAATTAAATTAATTTATTTAATTTTCTTAATTTTCGTATTAAATCAAACTAGATCATCCATTTTTGAAATAGAGAGAACAATATTTTAGTTGTCATAAATGTTAAATTCAATATATAGTTAATGATGTGAATTATGATAGTTGGACTACTATATTTAGTTCGTTTTGTCCTGTCAAAAGACAGTCAGATATTTTAAAGGAAAAAGCGATGAATTTCATTAAACACTGGCAAATGTGGCAATTTTTAGTACTTTGCCGTTACTTATTATTTGTCTCTTATATTAAAAATAGTTTCTTCCTTTTTACTTATTAATTTTAACAAAAATCATGAAATTTATTATTTTATTTTAATATTATTTACTTGTATCATTAATTAACTACATAAAATACTACTTAATAGTCAAACTTAGATTTTTGGAATATAATCAACAAAGATAATTTAGTAAAACAATTTCTTAAGTGATAATTTTGTTGGGAAAATTCCAAGTCAACAAGAGACAAGAAAAAAAGCGATATCTAAAATATAATTATAAAATATTAAAAATTAATGAGAAAATTACCAAATTACAATTTAAGTTGTACTCTTTGAAAATATTTGTCACCTTCCTCTTCTTGAGAGTTAATTTGACTAAACTTTAAAGCTAAATTGAATTAAATTAATTTAATATTTTATAATTAAAATTAAGATATTCTAAAAGATACAAACAATAATTCTAAAATTCCTTTTGATTCAACAATAATTTCTTATAATACGAAATTGTCCAAGTTTAATTCAATATGCACATTGCTTTTAACTTTTCAAATTATTTTTTCTTAGTGCCTTTTTAGTTAGTTTAAATTTAGTCATATCAAAATTTCATCGAAGGGATAAAACAAAAGAAAGGTCCTACACAAGTACATTTTATATGCTTAATTATTTCTATGGTGGGATATTTAGGGGAAGAATGTTGGTTATTATTGTCTCATAGTACATATAGGTTAAATCCCAATTGCTATTTTATAACAAATAAATTGTGTTTTATATTACTTCGAAAACAACCTTATTATTTTTCATGCAGATTATTGGAAAATTGTTGTCACCCTCATATTCAGTAACTAACTGTCATTATAATTATAACTTAATTATAAATATCAGATGTTGGCTAGTAAGTGAGATTTTGTGGACATATTGACTATACTTTTTCTAATTAATGCAATAGACAAGGAACCTTGTTTTATGGAAAATGTTCCTTGTTCTTTCGTAATCTAATAATAAGTTTAATATGTCGATTTATTTATTGCCACTAGTACCATTTTGAAGATCAGATGAACATATATATAACACTCACATGTGATATATTTGTCATAATAAATTATTAATTTCGTGAACGGATAAGAAAATGAGTCAAATATATACATAAATGTAAGTTATATACTAGCTAAATTATCGGTGAAAAAGCATTTTTTTTATTAAATTTGTACCACTGAACAAAGTGTGTTACGTTATATGTTTCTTTGTCCTTTATTAAAAATAAAAATTCTCAACAGAAATAAACACGGGGTTATTTTTTATAAATAAAGGAGAGTCTTTTTTTTGGGGGGGGGGGGGGGGGAACAAGAGATACTTATTTTTTAATATTATATATACAGGCTATTAGAAGCTCTAAAAAGAAAAGCACTAGTGATTATCCAAATAAAAATTGTTAATTTGTGTGCTTAAAAAGTCGGCAAAGTAATTAGAAAGAAGAAAGTTATTAGATAAATCGTGTAAGGTGTTATTTATTTTCATGTATAGTCTTTTTAATGTCAGACTGAGATATACATAAATATGGGGTCCTTTATTTGCCGGTTGTTACCCATGCATTTTCATTCTTATTTTACTCAATTTGTTATTTGATATGTATAAAATATGGCCTTTCATAATCGACTTAATTATTATTATTTTTACTTAGTCATTTGATATATGATTCGAAATGTAACTCGATTAATCCAAAACTAGTGTTAGGTAGACTAGTCATTTAAGGAGAAATTAAATTGCTCTATATTGAGAAGTTTTATATTTTTAGGAATCGAACTCGGGGGTGAAGGGTTTGTAGTCACTGCACCACACTCCTCAATGTTGCACCAAGGGTTGTAGTGGAATGGTAAGTATTCCTTCATTCTTAACCATAGGTCTCGAGTTCGAGTCCTCTTGGGTATCAAACATTGATTGGAAAAAAAAAGATGTTTAACTTAGTTAGAAGTAGGGGTAGAGTCAATGTGCATTTTATGGATATGACATGACTTAATAGCTTTGATCCTGACTCTATATTTGTACTAAAAAAATTGCTATATCATATGTATAAATAGTGTATTCATAATACATAAGCTGGTTTTTCTAAAACTCATAACTCATAAATTCAAAATACTGACTTCATCTTAATAGGAAACTACAACAACTTAAATTACAATCATAGTTGAAATATGATGGGTGATTACACATTCTTGATTGAACCTTCCAACCTTTTGTCTCAATTATTGTATCATGAGACCAGAAAAAGCGTATCTTTAACGTATCATTAGCAAGTGTTTAATTTATGACCCTTGCCATACCATAGAAGATACATATATAGCAGACTCCAAAAAAATTAGTTTCATAGCTCTAATCAATTGGACTCTTCAAACAAGTGGGCCTACCTATCAATGGGGAGGCCAAATTTAGCCCAAAAATAATCAACTGGACTAAATTTTGGCCCATAGCAACAATTGGTTATTTTTAGCAATAAAAGTGTGACTAATATGAATTCGTGACATGTAAGGCTTAAAAAATATGCTTTGAAAAGACCTGGAGTTGTCAAATACTAATAAGGAGAAGTCTTGATTATTTTTTTTATATCTGCAAATTGAAGTTACTTAATCAAATGAGATTTTGACTTAGTTTTAACTCAAGAAAGTCAGTACTGTAATAAATGTATAAAATTAGTATGAAATAAAGGAAAAATCATCCAATCAAATAAATGTATAAAATTAGTATGAAATAAAGGAAAAATCATACAATCAAGCAAATAGAAATAGGCAAACTAAGATTAATTAGATCCTGATATGTTTTAAACCAACATGTATGTGTTTTCGATCATGAATGTAAATAAAAAATGTAAGTTATTTGTCTATTAGGTAAGTTTAATGATGTATGTATTCCTATGACGGTAAAACTGAAGACCTACAAATTGGACAAGATCTCTTCCCCTTCAGCAACCATTCCTTTATACAGCTTGAGTGATATTCATGTTGACATTCAAGAGTTCCAATTGTCTCATCATTCTCATATTCACATTGGCAAATAACACATATTATTTCTTCTCC